TGATGCATTTAGTTCTAAGTAAGTCACACAAGAAAATACAACAGTTATATATTACAGTAGATGTTATCTTAATATTTTTATTGTATTTGTGATTAAAATGAATAAAAAATTGACAAAATTATAAAATTCAATATATTTTTGATGATGTTGTTGAGTTTGAAATAACATAATTTTATTGTGTGAATTACGTATATATATTAAACAAATCAAGCACTCGGTTTGATGTATCTGTGATTGTTATAGCAAATGTAAAACTTTGTCTTTTAAGTATTGTAAATGTTGTTTTGATAATTTAACGATTAAATTACAGTTAATTTTATAGACTAATTGACTTGAAATTGTTAAAATAATTACAATTAATTGAAAAGTTTTCTGTTTAACAGTAAATTTTTATCTATGGTCAATATAAGTAGCCAACTAACATGTCAAATAAATGTTCTTATCAATATTGGCATTGCTTATTTTGTTATTTAACAAAGAAAATGAGATTATTTCCTTTTTTAATTTTCAAGTAAAAAAATTGTTGTGTTTGTTAATAAAATAAATAATAAGTTATAGTTGTTTTCAATTATAGTATCTTAATTGTATTTTATTATTTATTGTTATTATTTGTTTGATTAACTTTGTATAGATTATGTTTACTATACTTTGTGTTTGCACCCATATTGTTTTTTAAGCGATTTACTCGTGACCAAAAAACGAAAATAAGTATAAAACACAAATAAAAAATAAACATTTTGTATTTTGTTTAGCCTTTAAACAACACATTTTTTAAAAAATAGAAAGTCTTTTATTTATTTATCAATGTTTTTCATAACCCGATTATTTGCTCAGTTATCAACAAAATTATTATTTCATAAAAATAATGGTATTTTTTTCAATTAAATTGCGACAAAATTTGTTTTTTTCTTGTTAATTTTGAAAACCAGAATTGTGCCGACCCACAATCAAGCGTTTTTTAAAATTTACTCATTGAGTGCCGCTGCCCAAAACTGCGTCCATATAAATTTTAGTGTATTTTTCTTCTTCTTTTACCATATTTTTT